CCATTTTCATTTATACAATTAATTGTTTAATATTAATGAAGACAATTGGAAATTGATTTCATGTACATTTCAAAAGATATTCAACTTTTCAATTATAAAATTCTGACGTGTCACGCATTGTAAATCCTCTCGCGACTCTTTCTTAATGATTTGACGAGTTTAAACGATTCACGCAGTCGTCGAGATTGAATTATGAAACACGTGAAAAGGGAACGACGATAGTTTTTTCCTATATAAGAACACAAGTTTCGAAGCACACGGTGACTCAGAACAGTCCGGCGAGAATGACTCAAAGCCGAGTTAGGCCGATAAGTGGATCGTTTCACTGAAAAAGGAAAGATCCTTCGAGAGCCAGTGATCTACGATGGCCTATCGGTATCTATCGCGATCGTAAAACAGTCATCCAGTATTCAATGATCAAGTTTTTAAACAGTTCACGTAACTCTTACACAATCAACATTTAACGTACGCATTTATCCTCCGTGTTTTATTTTTGTTTTCTCACGTGTATTTTCAATGAATCGATGCATTTCTTATATATAAGTCATGATTCAATATTTTTTAACAAATCATGTTCGTTTAATTGTACAGTTATTATTTATGTTGAATATCTACTACACAATATACTCGTCGATACATATAAGACTATTTTGAACAGAACAGTAATATCTAAGTATTATTTATGAAATTGTTTATATCATAGATGTAATTGAAATTGATCAATGTTTTATTTTCTACGCTTTGTTAGTCAATTCTTTGATAAAAATAACTTTTAATTTAATCGAAACTATAGAAATATTTCATACACTTTTTATGTGTTAAAATATCATGTGCTTTTCTTGCAGCAGAAAGTTCAGTGTATTATAACGTCAAGTTTTATCTAACCGCGGAAACTGTGACCAAATTTCCGTTCTGTTATCGTTGATGTATATATAATGTATTGATACATATATATGTAACTTTAGAGAAAATTCTAAAATTATTATGATCATTATGATGATTGGTATTTTGATAAAAAATCGTACAAAATACAATTATTGAAAATTGACAGAATTTTGAAGATTTATTTTTTCTTCGCCAGAAAAATTTAGTAATTCATAATTCAAACGATATTAAGAATTCATTTCAAAATAATTTTTTATACTATTTTAAAATACTAGGTATTTGAAACAAATTGAGACTCAATTGATAAAACTTTTATTTGCGTTGATCTAGAACTTTAAAATATTCTTTCTGTATTATATAAATTTGCTTTTGTATAATTTCATTTGATATTTTTATTATGCATTTGTTTATGTTCATACGAAGATTTACGAAGCATCATGCACGGAAAAAGAAAGGGAAGAATATTTACAGAAATTTTCATGCACCAGATGAAATTTACAATACTCTCAATTTACTATTTAAACAAATCCTTCCTAAATTTGTATCCTTTTGAAAATCATTTTTTGGAACATATTAAAGTCCAAACTAATTCTCCATTAGTATATAATGTACACAATTGTATAATATTTTATTTCAAAATACACTATTTAATGTATCATTAACATTATACTAGGATTCATATTCAGATTATGAAACTGAAAATAAAATTATATAGTGATATGAAGTGAATGCACACAATTATAAATATATTTTCAGTGCAGATTCAAATTAAACAAGTGAAAACCTGCGCTTAGATAATCTATTATTTGTAATCATTTGCTATTTTTATACAACTTTTAAGATATATTTTTTACTACTAGTTTTAAAAACATAATTTTTATTTAGAAAATAGAAATAATATAACAATGTATTTATATATTCTTAATAATTAGCTATTACAAAGAAAATAAATCTAATAATATTTTTATATATTAATATTTTATATATTATATATTAATATTTTAATATTTTATATATTAATTATTTTTATATTTAATATATTAATATTTTGTATATCAATTTTATAAACAATATGTTTATAAAATAACTTAATTATTACTTTCACAAAAATGCAAATTTTATCTTAGCAAATCTCCTTTTTCATGAAACATCTCACATTTTCCAATTAAGATAAGAAATTACATTACTCTCTAATTGTCATAAAAGGATACGTTGTAAATTCCAATAAACTTATAAAACAATTTTTAATGTCAAAATCGATATGCTAGATATCAAGAATCGAATAAAAAAAAAGAATCGATTGTACAAATAATAAAATAACATTTATCATTTCAGAGATATTAAATAATTTATAAAGTATTATAACTCCATGAAATTATGGAGAAGGGACACTAGAAAGAAAGGATATACGATAAACGTTCTATTTGTTGTTTATACGAAATAGTATTTAAACATATCAAGAAATTCACAAATCTATTAATTTGTCAATTTGTAAAATAGAACAAAGAATTTAGGATATGATAGATATAAATATATTTGTTAATTTTGAAACTATAAAAATATATAATTCTAAAAATATAAAATATCATAATAAGGAAAATAGTTGTTTAAAGTATTTTTTTATAAATTTTCATAACAATTAATATTTCTATACAATTCCAATGATTAAAATAAAAGAATAATTTTAATAGTGATTTTAGTTTAGTTATACTTACAAGTATTTAACTAATTTAAACTAAGTGCTCAGTATGTTATATAATGAATTTCTTTAAATTCTTTCGGAGTGTAAAAAGTAGAAAATATATATAATTTCACTTAACAAAAATCATTAAAAGAATTATGAATATATAGAATATATATAGGACAATTCTTTTTTTCTCTCAATCTATTATCAATAATATTCTTTTATTCTATTATTCTTTTAACATTCTTTAAAATGTCTTACATTCCAATAAATTTCATTCTATACAAACACAAGAAAAAAGAGACCAGAGAATGTACATCTTAACATTGAAAAATATATATAATTATTTAGTGCATCTTGTCAATAGTTTCTTTTTTTAGTATTCTAAATATTACAAGATTCTTTATACATTGAATCTCACCAAAAACCGAGATATTTAGTTATTAACTTACCGCATTTGATTTTGGCTTTGAAGCAGCGACATACGCCAAGTATTGAATCACTTTTTTCGTGTTTTCAGTTTTACCAGCGCCGGATTCACCGGTGCATAAAATTGACTGGTCTTCACGATCTACAAACAAAGATACGTAGTACAAAAGATCTGGCATTTTGAAGAAATAGTAAGCAAACATACTCTTACTTTAAAATTCAGTAACAAATTATAATCAATTATGTATACTTTATTTTATGGGCATATCACAGATAAACGACTAATCGCTTTAATTACTTAATAAAGTAATTAAACAGAGAAAATGAAAGAACAACTAAATATCTCGATAACTCTTAATGACTAAATAAATCAGCGAATGGCTGAGCAAATAGAAAAATTAATTACCTTGGAGCATAGAACGATATGCCGTGTCAGTAATAGCAAAAACATGGGGTGGAACTTCGTGTCTCTTAATACCCTTATATCTCTCCATTATCTTTTCCGTATAAATTGGTAGCCTCTTGTATGGATTTACCACCACGCAGAATAGTCCTGAGTATGTCTGCAATCATACCAACGAATCAATGAATGGTCTGGACAAAGAAAATTTCAATCATGCTGAAGTTTTCCCTCAAATACCTCGGAAAATTGTAACACCATTTAAACAATACATTTTACAGATAAAAACTACAGATCAAAAGTACAAATTTTAACTGATTAACTGATTTCCTTACAAATCATGAGGATTTATAAAATTTAAAATAGTAATATGTCTCTAAACTTATAATATTTCCTATGAAAGTTTTATTTTATTTGCATTAAATTTTATATATATATATATATATAATTTCTATTAAATAGATTAAATCAATATTGATATAACTCAATATTTTCGTTGGTCAAATTTCTAAATAAAAATGACCTTTAAATAACATTTTCTATCATGTTATTCAGGTAAGAAGAAATTTCATTTGTTTCGAATTGAAAAATCATTCAACACATTATCTTGACAAATTATTGAATGAAATTCCAATTTCTCTGTTTCCAACATTTTTGTTACATTTTTCACATAGCAAATTCAAGATTAGCAAGGCATACTGTAGATTAGAAAGAAAAAAAAAATTTCTCTCCCTTTTTTTTAAAGTTTTTTAACATGGTTTCGAACATACAAGGAAAATTAAGTGCTTTACTAATTTTTTTCATGTGTCGTGCATCGTGAGAATATTTCCTCTGCATGAGAATTTTTCTCACGCTTTTTAAAGAACAGTGTCCAACCGTTATTGACATAGAAAATGGACAAATATCAGTTTTGATTTGTTTGTTTAATGTATTGAACGAAATAAGCGATATACGAATTAAACTGAATAATAATCGAAAAATCGATTAAACATAAAAATAAAAAACGATTTCTTTGAAATTCGATTATCAATTAAGGATAAAGTGATATGCATTACGTTAATTAACAGATTTCACTAGAGTTAATAATCCATAATAAATAATCCATAATAAATAATTGCAGAGTATATTACAGAGTCTGGCATATGATTTAATAACAAGAATTTCATTAATTGAATGATATCGATGCTTCAATTTAATTTTGATAGATAGGGGGGAAAAGGAAAAGAAATGTTAAATATGAGCTCTTTGTTTCGACGACTGCGTAAGTGTTCAATTACAATGCGTGTAATTCACATGTGAGGCACTTGTAGAAATTACGTAGCGCATACACTTGAAACGATTTGCTACGCACGTGTTGCACTTTAACCATCAATAACCCCATTAACAAATTGATAAACGACTATACTGTGTATAGCAGACAAACACGAACAAGAGAAGATCGATTTATATTTTATTTAAAAATCATGTCTTGGACAGACTATGCGTCACAAAATACAGCTCGTATTTCGTAAAGGATTGACCTAACCTAAACCTTACCTAAACCTAACCATTTCGCAGTACGTTGAAACATTCGGTAATCGTTCTCTTTCTAACATATTTCGACGAATAATCTACAAGTCGAACGGAACAAAAAGCCGAATGTATGCGTCATCATATAGGAAAGATGAGCAAGCGAGTCGATCTCCACAAGTTCATACCAATGTGTAACCACGGAAAAATGTCAAGCAGCAGACAATCAGAGAAATTTTTACAGCTAGATCTCGGGGGACTGTCATTTTCAATATTTTCTGTCGATTAATTTTTGCATTACTTTCGTACAATATATTTAAAAGAAACTTATGAATGTCGCGACAACTCATTGCACGATAACAATTGTACCGGTAGTCAGTCGATAAGAGGTTAAATAACTTTGCTCCATTTCAGTTGATAAGAGTATAGCGGTAGATTTGCGGCACATTCGCTGAAATAATGAAATGATGACCTAATAATCGATACGCAAACAATCTTATTCTTGTGTAATATAAATCGCATGAAAAATCATATAAATAGAAATTACAACCATGAAACATTCTTGAAAAAACAAACGAACACATGTGCATCGTTATGCACGGTTATTTTCATTGTACTGAAAAATATTTTAAGCAGTAAATCATAATCAATTGCGATAAAGAAAATATAATATTTTTTAACTATTCTATAATTAATAATATTAACAATATTCACACGTAACGTACTTTATGTGAAATTTTATTATTATTTTTTTTTATTGCCATATACTGCTTTCTGTGATTATTTTTTATAATAATATAAAATCATTATATTTTATAATTTGAAATATAAACGATTTTATAATTTCCTGTGATATCTCTATTAATAATTTTCAATAATGTCGAACGCAGGAAATATATTTACAGTTTTCCTTCTTTCCCCTATTTACAACAGATGAACCTAATCGAGGTCGAATAAAGTCTCAATGCAAAGTAGGGATCCACGGTTATTTTGTTCCTTTTTTTTTTTTTTTTTTTT